TGTCATTTGTATTTCCCACTTCCTCCCTTCCATTTCCTGTTCCTTTATTACAGCTGGATGCCAGGATGTCATGTGCCTTTCCTTCTGTGTCATGGCACAGATAAGCTGAGCTCTCTTTGGCTCGTGCCTGCTCCTGTCTTGGCTTGCCTGTGTTTTCAAGCCTGTTTCATCATGCTGGTGCTCAGAGTGCTTCCTCTGCCCTGTCAGAGGGAAAACTTTAGGTGTGAGAGTTGCAGAAATATGGCATACTCACCTCAAGAGACCAAAAACATAGCAAACATGGCTGAAGTGGACACGGTGTGGCTACAGTGGAACTCTGGTGGTAAACCAGAACCTGATTCCTGCCCCAGCCAATAAACCTCACCCACAAGAGAAGTTCTTTGGGTGTTTTTGTCCTCACCTCTCTTTCAGTGCAGTCAATTCTGGCAATTCATTAAACTTAAACTCCATTAGAAAGGTAGGAAGTGATGAGGCGGGAAGAGGAGTCAGAGTCCATCCTGTTGTCATCACAAGCAAAGAGAATGTAGTATTCATTTCAAAATTGATATGAGCCTTTGCAATGGGACACCTATGTAGTAGTAGCAGTAGTTGTAGTAATGAAGCTCTGCTTCAGTGGGAGATGTTTTGTGAAGGTAGTTGATGTTCTCTGTTTTACTTTTGTGTTTGTCTGTCAAGCTGGGACACGGAGCAATTTTGGTTGTTTGCTCTGTTTGGTAGCCATAAGGATGACCAGCATTGAAAGCAGTGTCTGTTTTGCAGCTTTCTTCAGTTCCCTGCTGGCAGTTCATCGGTTGGATTAGCCAGATGATGGCACTCCTTGACAAGGATGAAGCAGTGGCTGTGCAGCACACTGTTGAAGAGATCGCAGATACCTACCCGCAGGCAGTCATCTACCCGTTCATGATCAGCAGTGAGAGTTTCTGCTTCAAAGATACCGCAGCAGGCTGTAAGAACAAGGAGTTCGTAGCAAGGTGAATCTGTGATCAGCAGTTCTTTGTGTATTTTGGATGCAGGTGTGGATGGGTTTGTTTTAAAGAAACTGTTTTCTTCAGGAAGCATGAGAGAGGCATTAGGGGGCAGTCCCACACACACTGTGCTTTGATTCAAAGGCATAGGGAAAATCAGTGCATGAACTCACTCAGCATTAGACACACTCAGGTAGGCAGCCTGATTGCTTACAGCAGTATTGAGTACATGGAGTCCCCAGACTGTGGGAAGTTGGAAGATTGCGGAGAAGGAACTCCTTTTTCCTGGGAGCTCTGTGTTAGTCGAAAGTTTCTTCTTCCTTTTCCTGCTCTGCTGAGGCTGAAGGGAAACCTGGTGCATGGTTATATTCCTGCTGCAGTAGATTTCACAGCAGTGACAGCCAAAACCCATCAGGGATGGAGACAGAGCTGGCTTGGACACTTTTAGTCTTTGTAACACCAGGAGAGAGAGCAGAGATGTTTGAATAGAATAAAGGCTCCCACCAGATTTCAGAGATTGACAGTGAAATGGGTGAACATTATCTTCTGGGAAACAGCAGCTTTCCATTGGTTTCTTCTCCGCTTGCTCAGTGCACAGTACAAGCCTTCAAGCCCTACCTTCCCCACCTTGCCATGCAATAAAACCTAAATTAATCCCCAGGCAAAAGTCAGCTTGTGTCACACAGTGCTGTAGAACTGCTACAACAATTTTAGGTGCTCCATTGCATTTTCTCAAATTTCTGATGTATTTGCTGAAAATCTTAATGTAAAACTAGAAGGGAAAGGCTTGTGCTTCACAAACTTTATTGTCCTTGAATAACTGTCCTGACAGGTCTTGTTAAATGCCAGTTTCTGTTGTAAGAGTGCTAACTATTACCCCACCAAGTGGCAGTTTTTTATAGCAGGGCACTTAATTACCAAGAAATTAGGAGCAGCACAGTGAGGACAGCCAATAATTAACACTTATACAGCCCAGGAGAATTGAGTCGTCCTCATTTGTGCCCGCTCCTCCCCCCAAATAGCATTACTCAATTAGTGGATGTAGCAGCTGCTGTGTATCATGGCTTATTGGCAGGCTAGGTGATGGTAGTTTCTGCTGAGTTGTGATGCAGTTCTTTCTTTTAAAGCATCAAGAACAAGTTGGACAGAGGAGGAGTAGTTCAAGATTTTATTCACTCCCTGGAACAGCTCTCTAATCCTGTAATGCTTTTTAAGGTAAAGTGTATTACTGCTTTCCCCCCTTCTTTCCCCACACTGTGCTTAGGAAAGAAAGTGCAGGGTGGAGATGCTACAGCTGCAGGAAGTGGTTCTCCCCATAAGACTGGCACCGATGCTAGGGTGCTCTATGAGATTTTCCTCATGCTGCTCCTCATTCCTTCTGCCAGCTGACTGCTTTGCAGTCATCCTCCTCAGCTTTCTCTTTCTGGGGTCTTTGTGCTGCCCTGCAGTCAGTCCTGCTTCATTGTTCCCAAACTGTTACGTTTTAAGAGTTAGTGTTTATGGACATGACAGTTTCTGTCTGCTGGAGTCCTTGTGCCCTTTGCCTGCTCACTGCTGAGTGCTCCTGCCTGCATTGTGAACCTGCTGTGTCAAGAACTCTCTCGTTTAGTGTTTGATCTGACTGTTGGCCCTATGGGGGCTTTCTTAATTTGTAGCAGACACTGTGGTAGTAAACATCGTTATGTTAGAAAGTAGAGACGTTTTTCTCAAGAAACAGAAGGAGAGGACAATGTTTGCACAGACTGTTGTTTGCTTATCTGACGTTCAAAAGACATGTTAATTGACCGTTAGTGCACGCAGTAACCCAAGTGCAGTCTGAACCAATTACCAACGAGTTTTTGTCAGCACTCATCTGATTCCTTCTGCTTTCAGGACTGGGTTGAGGATGTCAGAAATGAACTTGTAAAAACTCAGAGGAATAAAATGAAACTTAAGGAAATGTATGAAGGAATGTACAAGAATTTGGGAGATGTGAAGACTCCTGGCCTTGGATGGCTGAGGAAACAGTTTGTTCAGGTACGCATGGTGACTGAATAGCACTGGCACTGTGTGCTTCTGTAAAGGGCTCTAGCAAGTCAAAGGAGAGGAGCCAGATCACAGATTCCACACGTGCAGCAGGACTAGGTGAAGCAAGAGATGGAGTTTAGGACTTCAGGATTTCATTGTTGGGAGCTATGGAGCTGGAATGGCTCAGCTTTCCCTCATGACCGCCCCGCAGGCTCTGTGGTCCCGCTGCCGCCCCAGGTCCTCAGCCTGGGATTCTCTGTGATCATGAGCAGAGATCTGGAATTACAGAAAGGATTTTGCAAAATGAATTGAGATCTAGAATAGTGAGAGTTGGTGTAAAGAAAAAAAAAAAAAAAAGTGATGTGTGAAGAAGAAAAAAGCACAAACCCAAGTCTAATTTGCATGTAAATTGTTTGGATCTGAGCTGATTTGATTATTGCAACTCAAGAGCAAGCTCTTGATTTGTGATAGTTCTGTGGAAACATCAGCTGTGAAGAGTCAAGAGCCAGCAGGAAAGCTTAATGAGTGTAAGTTGTTGTTAAGAAGACAAACTATTGATCTATCCATTCACACAGCAGCCTTATCAGACCCACAACTTCACAGAATCATAGAATCCTTAGATTTGGAAGGGATCTTTAAAGATCATCTAGTCCAACTCCTGCAATGAACAGGACAACTGGCCTTTGTCCTGTTTTTGACCCTTATGCTTTTCTCATCTGGAAGAACTCCACTATTGGCTTCAGAAGTCCTTGATTAAACTGCACAGTTAAGAAATCACATCTATGAATGGCTTATCGAGGGAATGTGTGAGTAATTGTATTTTTGGGAGCCAGGAGATAAGACCACAGGTCTTGTAGCTTAAGGTGTGCTTTGAAAACAAGAGGGAATGGGAGGTACTGTCCCAGATCCTGCTGAGAGTGAAAATGTTCTGGGTCAGTTCAGTAGTCTCTTGGACTAGGTAGGAGTTGGACTTGATGATCTTCTGGGCCTCTTCCAACTCTGGATATTCTGTGATTCTCTAAGTGTAACAAGCAGCATTATTGATATGCTGACCCAAAATCCAGCTGTAGCTGGAAGAGGGAAAGAGGGATAGGCTTCTGGTTTAGACATAGCAAAAAGGTTTGTGGTCCAATTCTGTGGAGCTCTGGTATCATCGGGGTTGGGAACTGTCAGTATTTCTGTTGCTAGCAGCTGGTGGGGGTCTATGAAACAGGCATTGTAAGGGTTCTGACAGGATAGAAATTGATGGAGGAAAAGATTTGGAGCAAGAGAAAGATGGAAATGTTTCAGGAGGACAGATGAAACTGTGTCTGGATGGGAAAGTACTGTTGTAGTGTTCCTGGGGAGTTCCAAGCACTGTCCTAATGGGATTCGTGTCTGTGAATGAACCTCAGGCTTTTGGGAAGGATTTTGACAGTCATTTTGGAAAAGGCGGTTCAAAGCTGTTGAATATGAAGGCCAGTGATTTTAATGAGATCACAACATCTCTGCTCACAAAAATGAACAAAGCCCATAAAGAACCTGCAAACCTGAAAGAGTGTTCACCATGGATGAGTGAATTCAGAGCTGAGTTCTTGAGGAGTGAGCTGGAGGTCCCTGGTAAGTTCCCTTTCAGTGGTGATGTTGGAAATGTCTCATCCAAGAAAGCTGCTGCTTCTGATCTCTGCTGCTTATGTTGGCTGTGTGGCCCTTCGTTCTCACCTTACACAGAAGTATTCTGAAATAACTGTTACTCAATCTCTTAAATCTGTTCTTCCAATTTAAAAAAAAAAAAACTATCAAAAATCACATCTCTAACCTAAAGCATTCTTTTAAAGGCGTGATTCCAGGAAAATCTGAGGGTTAGATCTAATATATGCTTAATTCAAATTCAGCAAGGATGTTTCCTCTCAAACTGTTAAGATTTGAAAATCTAACTGCTAAAGAAGGGAAGACTACTGGTAATTTGAAGATAAAAATGTGTAATGAAAATGGGTTTTTATGTATTTTCATATATTTTCTTGAAAGATATAATTTTGTCAATTGAACAAAATATTTAGAAGAGTTTTTTTCTATTATTAAACACACTTTAAAAAATACTGCTGTTAATATTGAAAATCAAACCGTGTCAATTTTTCCTTTCCTCATCCCCACCCCCCCACAGGTCAGTACGATGGGAAGGGAAAACCTCTGCCAGAGTACCATGTGAAGATCTCTGGGTTTGATGAACGGGTATGTTGGTGAGCTTGAGTTCCAGTTCTGGTGTTGTGCACCTGTGGCCCTATTCGGTCTGCAGAATTTGACAATAGAAAGGTGGTTGCTGTGTACACATCGAGGAGCACTTAAATGCTGTTTTGCAGAACTTTCTTCAGTCTTTGAGTAGTAATTGAGCAACTTCATTGTGCCATCTGGGAACGCCAGAGAGGCTTAATTTCAGTAGTGATTCTGTCAGACCAAATCTTGTGTCACAAATACTTGTTTTTTCCTGTCTTCCAAGATAATGGTATTGGAATCCTTGAGGAAACCCAAGCGCATAACAATCCGAGGCAGCGATGAGCAGGAGCATCCTTTTCTTGTCAAAGGTGGAGAAGACCTGCGACAAGACCAACGCGTTGAGCAGCTGTTTGATGTCATGAACATCGTCCTTTCCCGAGACGCTGCCTGCAGCCAAAGGAATATGCAGTTGAAAACTTACCAGGTCATCCCCATGACCACAAGGTAGGATTTTATCTTGAAGGGGCAGAAATTCTTATAATAACATCTGTTGTTGCAATGTTGGAAAGTACGGTCTTTGTGTGCCAGATTCTGGTTCAGGAGTGTTTTGGGTCTTGGCTTGCTTTTGTATTTATTTTTTTCCTTTTGAAACTGCTTTGTCTGGAAACTGTATCTCAGAGTATATTTAAATTGGCAGCTTTCTTCGGTCTTTTAGCAGACACTAGAATGCATTGCTTCCAATTCTGTGTTGTTCTGACTCTAAGCTACTTGTTCATGTCTCTGATTACTTTTGTTCCAGGCTGGGACTCATCAAGTGGCTGGAAAATACCTGTACTTTGAAAGAATTCCTGAGGAACAGCATGACTGAAGAGGAAGACACCAACTATAACAGGTGATGTTTGGCTTTGCTGTCTCTTCTAAAGGGATTCCTGCTAATGGATTCATTGTGATACTGACCATCTTGTGGCCTCTTGTTTCCTTTATTTAAAGAAAAGAAAAAAAAGTACCTATAAGCAAGGAGGCACTCTGTACTTCCTGACCCAAATTAGTAATTAGCAACTGTTTGTTTAATGAGTACCGCTGTACCTGGAATATCCTCCACCCAGCTTGTTTAAACAAGAGGCTTATAATCGTGTGTGACGTCGTTATCATCACCATTTCCTTATCAGCAGATTGATTTTTTACAAGCGAAGGATTTTGATCTCCTGATTTGATCGGGCAGGAAATGGACGTCGGTCAGCAAAGGGGAGGAGAGGAGATGGGGGAGCAGAGACAGACCTGTTCAGAGGCTGCATTCAGCAGTGAGTCCAGGATGGAGGAAATTGGCAGATATGCAAAACACAGCTGTGAAAGAACATTGTCTCTGGCTGTGTACAAAGGCTGGATGTGAATAAGTGAGCTTTATGTCTCCTTGTAATCAAGGGATGAATATTTGTAAAATGGGTTGATTTTAGCATGTCAGCCTGGAAGTTTCTATATATTCAATTTCTGTCCTGGAATTTAGAAACGTGGTTTCATTTACTGACTTCTTTCCTTAGTGCATGCTCTCTGTTTGGGCCTGTCCAAGAGTTGTCATCAATTATTTTTACTAGTTCTCCTTCTTACTGGAGGAAGTTCCAGTGTGCAGGTTGGACTGCAAAGAGCCTTTGTTTCTACAGTTGATTTTTGACTGAGCCTTTAGGAATGACTACAGTTCCCTCATCACTGGTATCTAGTTTGTTTCAGTGAGCAACAGCGTTAATGTTGATCCCACTTCAATTACTGAAAGAGGAAGAGGACTTGCTTGGAAGCTTCTCATGAGGGGAGGTTTCTAATACTCTAAATGTAGATTATCCGTATCTTTCTAAAAACAGTTGATGATTTATCACACACAGAGTTTTGTTATTGTGAATGGACTTGAAACTCTTCAGCTGAATCAGTTAGGACACTTGCACTGAGCTGTGGATGAACAGCAGCACTCCTAAAGGAGGACTCTGAAATTCTTACAGGCAGTATTTCAGTTGGAGCGAGGGTGAATAAATGCCTGAAGTTTTCAAGTCTTTTGTCCATAGTGATGGGCTACTCAGTCTATAAATGACAAATATTTCTTAAATGAAAAGGATCTCTATACCTCAGAATATGGCTAGCAGGTTTAGTGGGCATGATGGTGATGGGCTGATGGTTGGAAAAGACTACTGAGCTCATCTAGTTCAACCTTATTGTTCTGGAGGGAGAACAGATGGCTGTTCAACTCAGTTGCTGTTTCTGTAAAACAGACCAGTTCTACAGCAGTTTAATGGCTAGCATAATAATGTATGCAGATAAGATGAGAGGGGAAAAAAAAGTTGTAGGTAGTGTAACTAATGAAGTCTGGATTAATACTTAAGTCCTCCAAGTTCCCTTTCCTTCCCTCCTGTACATGCTGAAAAGATAACAGACTGCCTTCTGCACTCCTTATCTGCTTGGATGGACAAAAAACAGTGTTATGGGGCAGGCAGCATAATGCCTCTCAGGTGGATAAGACATCATGGAAAAAACATTTTTTCTTCCCTGGAGAGGTTATTTTAGGTCTTTGTTCTCAAGGCAGCTTCTGATTTTTAGGGCACCTGTTGGAAATCGATGTCTTTGAGACATTAATGCCTAATCTTCCATTAAATATGACTGAAATGCATTTAGAACCTGTGGGGAAAGAGATGGATGGATCAACACGTGCACTGACTGCATGTGCATCATTTTCATAGCAAGGATAGAATTAATACAGGTTACAGTTCCCATGCTATATCCCCTGGCTTGTAGCAGTACACGCTCAATCTGCAGATATTCAGGTACAGAATTGGTAAGATAATGCAGAGAAATCAACCTTATCATTTTTGCTTTTTTTCCTTCCTATATCCACAGCCGAAAAGGACCTCGTGCTGCCTATAATGATTGGCTGTCCAAAATGGGTGGGAAGGCACAAGGCTTATCTCGATACGCTGCTATGTACAAGTAAGTTTTAGGACAACTGCATGTAAAGTATACAGACCATGCATACATACACACAATTGTAGGACAGCCAAGAAAAAGTAATCTACTTTTATAGTATGCTGCCTAGACCTATTTTTTGCTCGTGTGTTAGACTGCTTTGCCTAACATGAGATGTTCTGCAGGAGGACTTTAGTGCTAATAAAATGCTAGTAGAGTACAGGAATGCTTCCACAAGTTTGCTCACCTCTTTACGACAGTGTCTAGAAGCAGATGTTCTTCTTCAGCTGTCTTTTCTGAGTATCTTATTCCTGATTATGGTCTCAGGTAGGCTGCCTGAGAGCCAGAGCACCTGCTGAAGTTGGGCAGAGAGAATGCCACTATGATTCACTAATAAGTTCAGAATATGTGATGTGAGCATCCTCTCAAAGGAACTTCTGCACCTGCTCAAGTCTCATACTGTGCTGGGGAAGGAAAGGTTCCCCGTGGAGCATTTTGATGAGCTCATAACCTTCTTAAACAGGTGATGCTTAAACAGAAGTTTCTTGCTTCTTTGGGGAGAGCTTTGACTCGTTTATCTGAGTGTGTCTACATTAACATTTTCATTCAGATCAGGAATGTGCTTTTGGAGTACGTTCCCGGTTACTGCCGCTTACCTCATGTACTCAGGGACAGCTCAGCGATGCAAGCCAGCGTGGTGCTGCTTTCCAATGAAACTCAACTGGAAGTCTGCCCCAGTGCCTTCAGCTGCCTGCAAGCACTCTCCTTGTAGCAGTGGACCTGAGCTGGCCCAAAGCAGTCACCCTCCCTCCCCTGGATGTGTGCATGAGTGTCCTCGGCACCAGCTGTTTTGTCTCCCCTTCTGTGGCACTATTTTCTGGTGTAAATGTGACCACTGCACATTGCTGAGAAGTTCCACTTAGGCGCTAGCTACTCTGCATGGAACAGGTTATCCAACCAGAAAGATTGTATTGCTCCATTAAATCTTAACCCATCTACCTAATGTAGGGGAAAGCAGGCCGAGCTACACACTGCTTCATAGTCAGAAATTTTCATCTCAGAAATAACTGTTTGGAAAAAGGGATGAGGATTTATTTTAATAATTTTGATCTCTGGAGGTCCCTTCCAATCCCTACAATTCTGTGATTCTGTAATAGCAGATAGAATATTTTGGGCAAGCTCTGTGTGTGAGTTGTTATATTGCTTACTGATGGAAATAAGCACACAAATGTAGTCACATACATTCCCTGGCTGTTATTTCGGTGGCTGACATTCTTTGGTCAATTTGCAGAAATGCAAGCCGCACAGAAACAGTTACTGCCTTCAAGAGCAGGGAGAACAGTGTTCCAGAAGATCTGCTGCGGTGAGCATGCCTTTAATGACTGCTTGTTGGGAAACAGAAGCTGATGGCTTATCTGCATGCAACAAGTGAACTTCTGTTCTGCCCAGGAGAGCCTTTGTGAAGATGAGCACATCTCCTGAAGCTTTCCTGGCTCTGCGGTCCCACTTTGCCAGCTCACACGCACTGATGTGCATCAGTCACTGGATACTCGGAATTGGAGACAGGCACCTGTCCAACTTCATGATTAACAAGGAGACGGGTGGCATGGTGGGAATAGACTTTGGGCACGCGTTTGGCTCAGCCACGCAGGTATTTGTTGTGTAACTTGTTTGTTACAGCTTTTGCACATGCAATTACAAACGTGTTCTCTGTACTTCAATCTGGGGCTTCTGATTTGGCCACCGTTGTGATGCAAAATAACCTTTATTTCTAGCTAATAGAATAAAACCTGTTTCCAGGCACTCTCAGGGAAACAGGGAGCTGTAGAGTTTCACGTGGAGGGGAGAGGGTGTGAAGAAATAGGCTGTCAGTCCATACAGTGGTATTGTTTTACCGTGTGCTTTCAGCCACTGCCACGGGGTGCTCACAGGCAGAGCTGTGATGGCACGGTGTGGCTCTGTTCCACTAAGCTGCACGATTTCACTTCAGTGACAAAGGAGGTTTCAAGGCTCGAAAAGAAGGAAAAAAAGAAACAACAAGCTTGTAACCCTTCTGTCACAAGGTTTCTTACTTTTTGTTTTCTAATTCATGCTTTCTTTTGGCTGTCCTTCCCATCGGTCAGTTTCTGCCCGTGCCGGAGCTGATGCCTTTCCGCCTGACGCGCCAATTTGTGAATCTGATGATGCCAGTGAAGGAGTGGGGCCTCATTTACGGTGTGATGGTGCATGCCCTGAGAGCATACCGTGCGGATCCCGAGCTCCTCATCAGCACAATGGATGTGTTTGTAAAAGAGCCTTCCCTGGACTGGAAGGTGAGGGGCTTTTTTCTTTCAGTTTTCTTCACGTAAGAACTCTTAAACTGTAGTAAGAACAGCACTGATCCATAAGGAGGCATTTCCTGCTGCTTTGACTCAGTGCTTCTTTTCTTTCTTTGTTATACTGAGCTTATAGAGAAATTGGACTTCATCTAAAATGGCAGAATTCTATAAGTACGATGATGATGGACAAAGAAGAGTTGTCCATGTCTGTGCCGTCAGCATGTTGATCTTTGTCTGCACAATAACCCTAAAAATGTCAGTATCTTTTGATCATGTCACATTGCTTATGGCGGCAGTATAAATACTTTCAGCTTTTTGGACTGATTCATCTAATCAGTGCAGAACTTATACAACAACACTGTATTTATCTAATAATTACAGGGAAAAGAATCTGAAACAAGTTGTATTCAGGTCCACTTGTAAATTAAAGTGTAAATCATAGGCAGTCCAGATACCATCTCAGTGTTTTGCCCTCTACTGCAGCTGCAATGAGGAGCTGCTGCCATGACTTGGTGTGGTGTGGCATCTTAAAGGTCTTTTTATGTATGATAAATAGAACAAAACTGTTTTCTCTTTAGAACTTTGAACAAAGGCAGCTGAAAAAAGGAGGCACGTGGATTAAGGAGATAAACACCACTGAAGTAAACTGGTACCCTTTGCAAAAAATCAGCTATGTCAAAAGGAAACTTACGGGTGCCAATCCTGCACGAATCACTTGGTAAGATGCTCTCCTATTTCAGACTGCTCCACTAAGAGCTTTGGCACGCTCCTGGGTCAGACTTCGCTCCCTTCAGACAGAATGGCAGTTAGGAAAGAGGAGAGGCAGACAGGGCAGAATTTCACCCATCCTTCTGTCAGAGCCGTTCGGTTCCACGTCGAGCTCTCTTGACACACTGCCAGCCAGAACGTCTCCCTGAGTGCTCTTGCTCCAGCTCAGGCTTCCTGAGCAGTTTTACTGTTCTGGCAGCACACATTCCCACTCTGTAAGCTTGCTCAATTTCTCACTTGTCAGATTGCTGTTCTTTGTATTCATCTACACAGCTTTTAGACTAGGGGTAGTATTTAAAACCCAGTGTGCTTCTGCTGGGTAGTTGCTTGAAGCAGAACCTGATCCAGCTGTACAGGAGGCATGGAAGCACACTGCTTTCCAAAAACATCAAATATGAATGTGGTGGCGTTCTCAGGTCATTTCTGTCAGTCTGGTCAGGTCTGGCTCAAACTAGAATGTCTTTCAGGCTCAGTTAAAGTACAATTAATCCCTTCCATCCTCTTTTAAAAAGACATTCTGGGTTATTCCAAAAAAGAAAGAATGTAATGAAAGCAAACTTGTTTTAAAACCTTAACATTTCTAAAAAGTGCTCAGGAGTCTCCTGCTGTCAGAGCTGTGCTGGAAAAGGCAACAAAATACTCCCTGTAGGCAGAAATGAGTGGAACAAGTGGGGAGATAACTGTGGATGGGAACTGCTGTGTCCTCCTTTCAGTTAAGAGATTTTTTCCCAAATTGAAATATACATGGTAATTACTAATGGAGGACATCAAAAATCACCAACTTTTGACTGCCCAAGGTGCTGTCAAAGGAGCTATTGAGCTCCTCACCTTGAAAAATAAAGTTGCGCGAATGGTGATGGTGTCCAGGATAAAAACCCCTACCTGTTATTTATTCCTTTTAAGAACTTATTCTTGTGTTCTCAATTTTAGTGATGAGCTGCACCTGGGCTATGAGAAGTCGCCTTTTTACAATGACTTTGCAGCTGTTGCTCGTGGCAGCACTGACCATAATATCAGAGCCAAAGAGCCAGAGGATGGACTGTCTGAGGAGAGCCAGGTGCGGTGCCTGATAGACCAAGCGACGGACCCCAATGTCCTCGGCAGGGTGTGGGAAGGATGGGAACCTTGGATGTGAGGCTGCTCTTGAAAGTCCACTCTGATGAGGGGAGGAACCCTCACACACAGCTGCAGCCAGTCCGAATTTTAAGGCCAAGGAGCGAAAAGCCATTTTTATCATCGTCAGTTAACTTGACTAATGCAGGAAATGTTCTTGTACTCAAACAGTGATTTGTTTACATGGTTCTGTAACCAAACAGCTGTATTGGCCTCATGTTAACATCAGTGTGGGAAAAACTGGTGAGGCTTCAGAGCTTGAGGGGCAGTCTGGAAGGTGCTCCAGGCATGCAGACCAGAGCAGGAATTCACACCCTCTACGTTTGCAGCCATCCTTTCAGTGAAAGTGCGTGCTTTGTTTGTTTTTGTTTTTCTTCCCAAAGATCTTGCTGGAAACCATTCAGCAGACACATTATTTGTAATTAAAATGGGAAAGTTTTTCTGTCAATAGAAACTGTAAAGCACGTAGTATAACTAAACAGAAAATATCTTTTAATACTAGAGAACACGTGAAGTATGTGGATGGCTGTTTCATTTCTGGGTGATGAGAAAGCAGTGATAGCACCAGTTTGTTACAGCAGTTTGGTTTTTAACACTTAGACATTTTGGCCTGTGACCTCTGTACTTTATAGAGGTCTGCAGTCCTCATTTTTTTTATTAATGCCAAATTAACTTTGGAAAGCCAAAGCCAAAAGGAGGCACTGACAGCACAGCAGAGAACTGCTGCGCAGTGAAGTAATCGCTGTTGCACTTTGGTATTTGCATGTGACAAAGCTGAGGAACTGTGCGAGGTTTGGCTCTTCTTGCTGGCTGCTCTCGGTAACCTTGGTGGCAGGTACAGCACAGGTGATGAGGGGGCAAGGTAGTTCTCTTAAAACACTGTGGTTATTTGTTACCCAGAGTTCAGCGCAGAAGATAACTTCCATTGATGTTTTTAATAATTATCATAAAAGATGTAATAAAAGTGAGTCTTTGCCCTTTCACTGCTCTGGAGCATTCCTTCCTGGCTCTGTACCCCAGCGCACTGCACACGGGGGGCAGAGCCTGGCCTGGCTAAAGGAGGTGGGTAGGGGGAGGCTGCAGGCAGAGTCCTGATGGCTGGGGAAGGGAACTGGCGGTGGTGCAGAAACAGCTGTTTGTTGCCTTGTTTCATATT